TAGAGCGACATTAAAGCTTTGTCCACTACAGTCTAAGAGCGACATTAAAGCTCTGTCCACTACACTCTTAGAGCGACATTAAAGCTCTGTCCACTACACTCTTAGAGCGACATTAAAGCTCTGTCCACTACAGTCTAAGAGCGACATTAAAGCTCTGTCCACTACAGTCTTAGAGCGACATTAAAGCTCTGTCCACTACACTCTTAGAGCGACATTAAAGCTCTGTCCACTACACTCTTAGAGCGACATTAAAGCTCTGTCCACTACAGTCTTAGAGCGACATTAAACCTCTGTCCACTACAGTCTTAGAGCGACATTAAAGCTCTGTCCGCTACACTCTTAGAGCGACATTAAAGCTCTGTCCACTACAGTCTTAGAGCGACATTAAAGCTCTGTCCGCTACACTCTTAGAGCGACATTAAAGCTCTATCCACTACAGTCTTAGAGCGACATTAAAGCTCTGTCCACTGCAGTCTTAGAGCGACATTAAAGCTCTGTCCACTACAGTCTTAGAGCGACATTAAAGCTCTGTCCACTACAATCTTAGAGCGACATTAAAGCTTTGTCCACTACAGTCTAAGAGCGACATTAAAGCTCTGTCCACTACACTCTTAGAGCGACATTAAAGCTCTGTCCACTACACTCTTAGAGCGACATTAAAGCTCTGTCCACTACAGTCTAAGAGCGACATTAAAGCTCTGTCCACTACAGTCTTAGAGCGACATTAAAGCTCTGTCCACTACAGTCTTAGAGCGACATTAAAGCTCTGTCCACTACAGTCTTAGAGCGACATTAAAGCTGTGTCCACTACACTCTTAGAGCGACATTAAAGCTCTGTCCACTACACTCTTAGAGCGACATTAAAGCTGTGTCCACTACACTCTTAGAGCGACATTAAAGCTCTGTCCACTACACTCTTAGAGCGACATTAAACATCTGTCTAATGCGGCAAACATGAAACAGTTTTCAGTCATAATTCTTTTAGAAAGTTTCTTTAAAAAACCTGAGACGACGTGGTCGGGCGAGAAATCCTATGATTCTAACTCCATAAAAACGAAGTTCGATTCCTCGGGGTAGATAAGTCTCGATAGCTGGGGACAGCAATCCTACTAGGAGAAACAACTCCAAAATTAAACAACTGCTGCCTTGTAGTTTGTTCTTGGGTGGACAAAGGCTATGGAAGCATATCCAAAAGGAAAAGCAGACGATTGCGAGAACGTTTGAAAAATCGTTTGTTTTTTAGGTAACAGTGCCACCTTAGGATAATTCTATAGCTAATCCTAAAAAAAGAAGACCAGTGGAATAACACGGACAAGATAGTAAACATTGTTGATAAATTAAAACACAGTGCGGAAAAAAAATCTCATTATTCATTGTAAGTAGTTCAGCACTTAATATTTTTAGAATGGCGCATTCTTTTCACTATTAACGCACTTTGACAAAATTGTGTGGCTTTGAAAAAAAAAAGTCCCCGTGCTCACTCAAGCGAGACGGTCTCGTGACCTTTCCACACTGACCGGAACTCATTTCTCTCGCGGCGCCAGCTCGGGGCTGTGCTGAGCTTTGTTTACATTATTCATGGGCAGGAGAAGCTCTGGATACATCTTAGCACGCATGCGCGGACTTAGTGGGTTGTTTCCTTCTCGCCTAGCCGGGCAGGGCAGATATCGTTATCGCGATATCGCAGGAATTGTCCGGTATCGAGGACCTTGTGGATATGTTCGATACCGGTTCTAGAGACGTAATAAATTTGCGATACCGCATTGTTATTAAATAAGATAAAAATATACGATACCGCAACGTGTGATACAATTTTATGGTCCTATTCTTTATCCGATATTGCAGTAAAATCGAATAAACTATTCAGCTTTTGATCTTGTTACTTTTCATCTTGTAACTTTTCATCTTGTAATTTTTCATCTTGTAATTTTTCATCTTGTAACTTTTGATATTGTATATTTTAATCTTGTAACTTCTAATCTTGTAGCTTTTAATCTTGTAACTTTTAATCTTGTAGCTTTTAATCTTGTAACTTTTAATCTTGTAACTTTTAATCTTGTAACTTTTAATCTTGTAACTTTTAATCTTGTAACTTTTAATCTTGTAACTTTTAATCTTGTAACTTTTAATCTTGTAACTTTTAAATTTTTAACTTTTAACTAGTAAAGTATTACTGTTTTTTACCTTGTAGTTTGGCTCAAGTTAAGTCTCGATGCAGTACAGACAAAAGCTCTGTCCACTACAGTCTTAGAGCGACATTAAAGCTGTGTCTAACACGACGAAAGTTTAAAACAGAATCATGAATGGGAAGGGGGGGGGGGAGGGGGGAGAAAAGATTCGAGAATTTTATGTCCAGGAATCGAAAATCCAGTCTGCGTTTCTGGAAGAATTCGATACCACTAATCCAGAAACGCGGCAAAAAAAAAAAACGTTTGATCCACCAGACGACTGCTAGGCGTGCTTGATCCGCAGACGACGCTAAATCAAAAGCGATTTTCGCTGATGTACTTAACATTTCAAGCGGCCGAGCTGATAGCTGATCGCCTACTTAAGCAGATCTGCTCGGGAGAAGAACCGGGCATTCGGCGGACTGACCAGCAGTGGCCGGTCGTACGGTTGGTGGGATCTAGCCTGATCTGAGCTCAGACAAACTAGCCAATGGGCTGTGAGATAGCAACGTACTAGCCAATGGGCTGTGAGATAACAACGTACTGACCAATGGGCTGTGAGATAACAACGTACTGACCAATGGGCTGTGAGATAACAACGTACTGACCAATGGGCTGTGAGATAACAACGTACTAGCCAATGGCCTGTGAGATAACAACGTACTAGCCAATGGGCTGTGAGATAACAACGTACTAGCCAATGGGCTGTGAGATAACAACGTACTAGCCAATGGGCTGTGAGATAACAACGTACTAGCCAATGGCCTGTGAGATAACAACGTACTAGCCAATGGGCTGTGAGATAACAACGTACTAGCCAATGGGCTGTGAGATAACAACGTACTGACCAATGGGCTGTGAGATAACAACGTACTAGCCAATGGCCTGTGAGATAACAACGTACTAGCCAATGGGCTGTGAGATAACAACGTACTAGCCAATGGGCTGTGAGATAACAACGTACTAGCCAATGGGCTGTGAGATAACAACGTACTAGCCAATGGGCTGTGAGATAACAACAAACTAACCAATGGGCTGTGAGATAACAACGTACTAACCAATGGGCTGTGAGATAACTACGTCACCACACGTAAAATAACCAATCGTCTCACCCGTAGTTTAAAAAATTAAAGCGGTAGTGAGTTCCCTGAAACTTTCTAGAATATTTTTTGTAGATAACGGTTGGAGATAACACTTTCAATGAAATCGGGTAAAGAAATGGTAGATAATTGTGACGAAACAGGTTATTAAAAAAAACACACAGTGGAGAAAATATTTTAGGATATACAAACTGTAAATTGTAAAGTCTTATTTGAGAGAGTGAGAATAAAAGTATCTCTTCCGGTTACCGGAAATCATTCAAAGAAAGAAATCTACTTGGTAGAAAAGATTGCAAAACTGGGTATTTCCGACTCAGGAACGGCCTAGATCTAGATTTATCAAAATCCCTATTTTAAAAAAAAAAAGGATTACAATATTCGCCACTATAGCCTATTTCTTACACAAGAAAGTTAAAAAAAAAATTATTAAAAAAGAACATTGCGAAATTATAGACAAGGGAAGGTTAAAAAAGAACGTTAAAAAAGAACTCTGATGAGAGCAATTCGATTGACCGCCAGGGGAAGACAACTCGGATGAATAATGAATGACGTAGTTGCGAGTAACTAACGCAATTAGTGTGGCGCTTGTCACATAAGTTTCTTTGATTTGAATACACGGCTGTTGCTAGGCTCCGTGATGACAGATTATCAAAGTCTGAACAACAGAAATAGTTGCTGGTTGTTGGGTCTTTAAACTTAGGGCAATTTGAGAGCAGACAATGTAAAACAAAAAGACAAGGGTTGATTGTTTACAGGGGTCTAAGATCTAGCGCGTTTTGTTGTTTTTGTTGTGACTTCAGCGCGTGACATGCATGTGACGTAACAGGGACGTGTGTGCGTGACAGACGTTATCCAGTACTCAGCTCTGGGATTGTGGAAAGGGCAAGTGTGTAGTGGAGGACTCGAGGTTTGTAGAAAAGGGCGAGGGATGTGGGGTGGAGTGGTAGATGTGGGGTGGAGTGGTAGATGTGGGGTGGAGTGGTAGATGTGGGGTGGAGGATGTGGGGTGGAGTGGTGGATGTGGGGAGGAGTGATAGATGTGGAGTGGTGGATGTGGGGTGGAGTGGTGGATGTGGGGAGGAGTGGTAGATGTGGAGTGGTGGATGTGGGGTGGAGTGGTAGATGTGGGGTGGAGTGGTAGATGTGGGGTGGAGGATGTGGGGTGGAGTGGTGGATGTGGGGAGGAGTAGAGAATGTGAGGTGGAGGATGTGGGGTGGAGTGGAGAATGAGGGGTGGAGGATGTGGGGTGGAGTGGAGAATATGGGGTGGTGTGGTGGATGTGGCGTGGAGTGGTGGATGTGAAGCAGAGGTTGTGGGGTGGAACGGAGGGCCGCGGGCAAGCAAAAATGGCAAGATGGGGTTGATACAAATTCTGCTACATGGCAATAGCGGTGTGGTGGGAGGATGGTAACAATGCCAGTGTTTTGGGGTAGGGGGGGGAATTAGGTTTGGTTTAGTTAACCTTTTTGTTTTGCTGTGTTCGCTGTACGGATAATCATCCGATATCTTCGGATATAATTATCAAATTTCTTATGCGTGTGGCCATGGCGATTACATAGAAACACCGGGCCATGACCCTTAATGAAATATGTGGCCATTATACATGCAATATCGGCGATGGCCATGGCCAATGTGGAATTGTAATGACCATGGCCCAAAATGAGATTAAATTACCATTTCCATAGTTGGGGGGTGTATCCACCCCCCCCCCCAAAAAAAATTCTCCATTACCTTCTCATCATGTTCATCAAACGGCTCGTCCTTGACACTGATTTTATTTATAGCCTGGGCCACGCCTATCACCTCGCCCTCGCTGTCCTTAATGGGCATTCCCAGAATGCTGCGGGTCTTGTAGGACATGCGCAGATCTATCTCGTTGTTGAACCGGGGGTCCTGTGGATGGAGGAAATATCGTCAGTTACATGGGTCATAGTTCATTATGGGGGTCATAGTTCATTAGAGGGGTCATAGTTCATTATAGGGGTCATAGTTCATTATAGAGGTCATAGTTCATTATAGGGGTCATAGTTCATTATATGGGTCACTGTCCATTAGAGGGTTCATTGTCCAATAGAGGGGGTCACCAAGAAAGTCGTCAGTTATAAGGGTCACTGGCTTGACTTGAACCAAGAAAGTAACTCTACTGTCTGTCTGTAATGAGTCCGTATTTTTGAAACACTTAGCTCTGACCACACTGTCACCCTGTGTGTCGAGTTTATTGAAACAGATAAACCCTACTTCATCTGCTTCATGTGTCTTGGATACAAACGGAAAAAAAGATGGCGATGATCTTTGAAACTAATTTTTATTAAAATCTAAGTATTGAGTCGTATTTAATAAACTATATCTAGGAAAATTGTATTTTACATGGGGTCTTGCTGAAGACAACTGGGAATAGACGATAAACAGCACGCGGGAGGGTGGTGGAAAGGGGTGGGGGGGTGAGTTCAGATCACGTCATCGTTCACGGTAATCCGAGGTGACACTTATGTCACGACGCTAATCCCACTATACTGACGTGACACCTAATTAGGGGACCAGTTGTTTGCCGTGACAGGAATCCGAGACCACTAGACTCACGTGACAGTGAAATCGGAAACCAGTAGACGGACGTGACAACAAAATCCGATATCACTATCCTGAAGTGACAACAAAATCCGATATCACTATCCTAACGTGACAACGAAATCCGATATCACTATCCTAACGTGACAACAAAATCCGATATCACTATCCCGACGTGACAACGAAATCCGAGACCGCACCAGCGGTCACGCCGCAGAAATTTAATTCGAGCTCTAATCCCAAGCAGCCCGCCAAGAATGCGACCGGAAATTGATGTTCCGGAGTAAAAGACCGGTCTTTGATGACCTGAGATGCCGTACAATGCCGTACAATGCCGGCCCCGTGAGCGACGTGCTATTTTCCTACCTCGCCCAACAATGGAGGCTGATTACACTTCATATTCCAATGCCGGATTAAGGTTAGCAGGTGGATGGGGAATATCAGGGAGATGAGGATTAACAGGTGGACGGATAACACAGGTAGAGTTAGATGCCATAGGAGATTAAGATTAACAGAGTGAGATTTTGTAGTAGATTAAGATTAATAGGTGCATGAAGACAAACAGGTAAAGCGAGATTACAGAGTAGATTAAGATTAATAGGTACATGAAGATTAACAGGTTGAGTGATATTTCATAATATGTAAGGACTGATAGGTAGGTGAAAATTCAGAGTAAATTCAGATTTAAATGTAAATGAGGATCATGAGGTAAATTGAGATTATCAGAACAACAGTGATATGGGCAGCGTGGTCAAGTAGTAAAAGGCTTGAGTGCAAACCAGGAAGTCACATGATCAGTTCCGTAGATCCCCTAATGGGTTTAACTAACTATCACGGGGAAAGTCAAGGCGGATAACTCTGATTTCTTAGACTGAAAACAAAAACGAGTTCCTTTCATCTGCGCCATAGAAGGCGATATCTGAGAGATAATGTAGGTGACGGGACCAGCGTGGTGCAGCGGTAGAACTATCGACGGCTAACCTGGAATTCGTGAGTTCGTTACTTGGCTCTAACCGGATATTCATTTTTTTTTAAACTTAACCGCCAGCAAGACCCCCACCGCCAAGAACGGGGGTTAAAAATGATGGAAAAGTAGAACAAACTAGAGCGAGGATAGGAGAAATGCCCGGCTGTTTATTAGTTCTTCTGATGTAATCCTATTGGCTCAACAACCTTGCTTGGCCCGGTGTAGATAGAGATTAACATTTTGATATAGATTAATGGATTATTGGGGTTACAAGGTAAATTAAGTTAAAACAAAGATGGAGAGAACGGCGTGGGTTAAGATATTAAGATGATCTGATAGATTAAGGGGGGATTAAGATTATCGAGTGGGTACGAGGTGATTACCAGAGGTGAATATTAGCCTTTGGATTACTTATGAGAGTTTTGTGAATGGTAATCCACAATCTTCTCGACAATCACTCCACTTACCATAAACAATCCACACAATCAAACAAAACACGAACACAACAACAGACATATAGCCATATACATACATAAACATACACACAAACACATACACGAACGAAAGAGCACACTAGCACACAAGCTAACACGCATACTGACACACATAGTAATACACAAACATGCACATATATAGAGAAATACGAAGACACAAACACACATGCGTACACATACGAGAAAACAAATACGAATACGCATATGGACACGCATACGCACACACATACAGACAGACGGGTTGACAAATGCGATTACCAACGCTATGTCGCACCCCCCCCCCCCCCCACCCCACACACACACACCAACAAGGTCCAAATAGTCGAAATGACTAACAAGAGTTCCCATCTTGACTCTGAGACTTGGTTAGCAATAAAACACGAATCGAACCCAAGCCCCGGGTCAGTCGTGCAGGTTGCTCCCTATAATCAGCTTTCGGCGTCTTGGCGACCAATCAATAGCGGTCTAACTAGGGTTGTAACGTGCCGTGACGTCACAGAGGAAAGAAGAAAAAAACTTCTCGAACAGAGAACGCTTGATTTGGACAATTAGAGTTTTGTAAAATGGTAATTTTAGGACAATTAGAGTTTTATACAATGGTAATTTTAGGAGAACTAGAGCTTTGTACAATGGAAATTTTAGGACAATTAGAGTTTTGTACAATGGTAATTTAAGAATAATTATTATTTTTTTTTAAATGGTAATTTTAGGACAGTTAGAGTTTTGTACTATATTAATTTTAGGAAAATTGGAGTTTTTTTGCGACCATAATCACCAGGACAATTAGAGCTTTGTACATTGTCAATCTTTCGGGCAGTTATAGTTTAGTACAGTGTTAATCTTTAGGACATTTAGAGTTTTGTATAATGTTAATTTTCTGACAATTAGAGGATTAATCTTCAGTAGAACTTTTCCCCAACCTTGAACGTTGCTAGGTATCGATTGATGTGTTTATGCGCGTGTATGTGTGTGTGTGTGTGCACGTGTGTTAATGAAAGCTAGTTCAAACTTTCTATTGCTTAAATCAACCTTATAATCCGAGTGGAATAACATTGCGCCACTTAATAAAGGTAGACAACCCACAATTTTTATATTGTACGTGGATTATGTGTCACTGTGACGGCCAGATTGACGCGGGATAAACAGGTAGACAAAGATGAGCTGGGGGGGGGGGGGGGGGGCACCGAAGGAAAGAGACGGAACTCGCCGTCATGGTCCGGTGAACCAGAGTAAGTACACGATTTTTACCGCCACAGGAAATTGTCGCGATAGAACCGGGGATCAGGTGATCGATGATTGATGATCGATTATCGACCCGCCATTTCATGATCGGCGAAGTTTAATATCATGTTAGCAGTTTTCCGTTCTCCGGATCCTGTCTATTCGGAACTCGGTTTATTGTTTGACCCCTGTTTATTGTCTGACCCCTGTTTATTGTTTGACCCCTTTTATTGTTTGACCCATGTTTATTGTTTGACCCCTGTTTATTGTTTGACCCTTGTTTATTGTTTGACCCCTGTTTATAGTTTGACCCCTGTTTATTGTTTGACCCCTGTTTATTGTTTGACCCCTGTTTATTGTTTGAACCCATGTTTATTGTTTGATCCCTGTTTATTGTTTGACCCCTGTTTATTGTTTGACCCATTTTTATTGTCTGACCCCTGTTTATTGTTTGACCCCTTTTTATTGCCTGACCCCTGTTAAATGTTTGACCCATGTTTATTGTTTGACCCCTGTTTATTGTTTGATCCCTGTTTATTGTTTGACCCCTTTTTATTGCCTGACCCCTGTTAAATGTTTGACCCCTGTTTATTGTTTGACCCATGTTTATTGTTTGACCCCTGTTTATTATTTGACCCCTGTTTATTGTTAGAGACCTGCTCGAACTTGTAACTTAGTTTATGGTAGGGTGGCTTTAGTTCTCAATGGCTTTCTAGATAACTTTTTCACAACTACAGACCAGCACCATCACGTCCAGACTACCGCCGGTCAAATCGTGACATAGACCGGTCAAATCCTAGCAACAACCGGTCAAATCTTGGCATAGACCTGTCAAATCCTAGCAACAACCGGTCAAACCTTGAAACCTACAAGTCCAATCCTAATTTCAACAGGACAACTATCCTGACATCAACCAGCGACTGTTATAAAACCCTGACATAAACCAGCGACTGTTATAAAACCCTGACATAAACCAGCGACTGTTATAAAACCCTGACATCAACCAGCGACTGTTATAAAACCCTGACATAAACCAGCGACTGTTATAAAACCCTGACATCAATCAGCGACTGTTATAAAACCCTGACATCAACTAGCGACTTTTATAAAACCCTGACATCAACCAGCGACTGTTATAAAACCCTGACATGAACCAGCGACTGTTATAAAACCCTGACATGAACCAGCGACTGTTATAAAAACCTGACATACACCGAACAGACCGGCGTCAGGCGCTTTAATCTTGTCAGCGCCGCTAGAAAAGTGTCAAGTTTACCGACAAGTTTGTCGTGTACACACGAGCGATAACCAAACATCACAGCTCAGGTGGGTGGGTGGGTGGGTGGGTGTGGGTGGGTGGGGTGATAAGGACTTCAGTCTGGCACCACACGAGATCTCGCGGCCAAATCTCGAGGTAGAGCATAATATCTCGTACAAATCTCGCGACCTAAGCGAAATCTGCTGAATGTACCAAATGCATTTGCGAAATGACGTTTTTTATTCAATATCGCATCCACACTTGTGCTACATCACAGCTGAATTGTGGAGCTAAATCCCCAGCTCAAAGTATTCGCGTTTTATTGCAAAAAAATTGCAGCTAAACCTCACAGCTAAATAGCAATACTTTTAACAGCTAATTCATAGAG